TCTTTTCTATCTTTAATGCTCTCACCCATCTATCAAAGTTGCTACGTTTAATTCTTTCAAACTTGACTGAAGTCTGACCTGGTTTCATCCTTATATTTCTGAACCGTTGTCTATATGCTTCTGGTACCAATTCGTAGGCACTCAACAGCCTGTTTTACTGTTTCATATTCTCTTGACGTCTCATCTGACAGAGCTGCAAACACGTCACCAGCCCTACCTACCAATGTGGTCTGAATTAACATTACCTACACAGTCTCTGGCCAGTATATCTGGTTAGCCAATTTCTCAAAGGAAATGAAAAAGGCTTCTACATCTTTTTCATCAAATTTTGGTAATGTTTTCATATATTTGTATATATCCCTATCAGGTCTTTGGCTATGATGGGTCTGCTCATCATCACTCTCCTCCTCACTAAGCCTATCTTCTACCTTCATTTCCAACATTTTAAGTCAGCTGTCCTGTTTAACTTGCAACTTCCGAAATTGAAAGTTTCACTTTTTCCCCCTTTCTTCTCTGTCTTTTCTTTTTGTCTTTCCTCTGCTTGTAACCGTAATTCAAACCGTTGCAGATCCCTTTCTTCCTCTTCTGCCCTGGCTCTTCTTTCATTTTCTTTATCTTCTAACTCCAATTGTCTGATTTTTCAATTTGATTTTTTTCTAGCTCCACTGCACTTGCCTATTTCTCTGATGTACCTATATGCTTGACTAACTCGTTTACAATTTCAGCTTTCCTGTCATCCCTTGTCAAATCCAATTCTAGCCTGTTTGCTAAATCTAAAAGTATATTTTTCATCTTTTTCTAAACTTTCTTGGCAAAAATCCTCAAACCCCAGAATCATTTTAGCAACATTAAGAGCCATTTCCCCCACTTTTGATTTAGTCAACCACAAATAGATTTTCCACTTCTCACCTAAGTTTTAAAGATCTAGGACACTAATCCCCAAGTCTATTCAAATCTGCTGGGACCTTTTGCAAAGGCCAAGAGTGGCCTTTGCACCCTGAATCTGTTCATATCTGTCCAAACCCATTCAGATCCCATACACGAACCAGCCAGATCCCAGGCTGAAGCCCCTAACCTTTTACAAAACTACTGCCTGCATTACTAACCACACAGCCTTTTGATACGTTTCAATTTCAGGAACACTCTATGCACCTGAAAAAAAAGCACATCGTCTTTTAAAGGGACCACACACTCTTTCCCTGCGCGCCCCCCCCCCCCCCACCCCCTATCATTCTCCAAACAAATTCTAACACCCTGCCTTCCAATTCACAAGTACTGTACCCAACTTCGCAGCAATGGTGTGTGGCATGGAAGGGAAATTGCAGGTGGTGATGTTCCTATTTGACTGTTGCTTATTTGACCTTCTAGGTGGTAGATGCCATTAGCTTAGAAAGAGCTGTTGAATGCACGTTGGTGAGTTGTTGCAGTGCATCGTGTAAATATTCCATGTTGCTGCCACTGTGTTGTTGGAGACTGTTCTATCAGACTCCCGCCTTATGTCTTCTAGATGATGGATGGGAGTCAGAATTATTCATCCCAGAATTTGTAGTCTTAAACCTGTTCTTGAAGTCATCGTTGTTTATAGCAGCCTTTCTTGCCACCAGATTTGGAGAGTCTTTCAAATACACTGGTAGTGGTACTTCTCCAGTGCTTTGAGGTGCCTGCTGAAGGTTGTCCAAGTCTGCAAAGCATATAGGAGAGGGGGGGATCATTGTTGCCCAATAATCCGTGGCCTCAGTTATGGGCTTGAGATCCTAATCGTCAAACAGCCTTTTCCTCGGTTAGCTGAAGGCATGCTGGCTTATGGGGTTGAAGATGCCTAGTTATTTTTCAAATTAAAATTAAATTGGCTGAAATAACAACAGGTAGGAACAGAGACTGTTGAAAAAATATTTTTATCTGTACCAGCTTGCATTATCACATGTAAAAATGCAGTGTCCTTGAACTTGATCATGGAGTCATAGAGTTATACGGCATGGAAACAGACCCTTTGGTTTAGCTCATCTATGCTGACCGGATATCCTGAATTAATCTAGTCCCATTTGCCAGCATTTGGTCCATATCCGTATAAACCCTTCCTATTCATGTACCCATCAGATGCCTTTTAAATGTTGTAATTGTACCAGCCTCCTCCACTTCCTCTGACAGCTCATTTCCACACATGCATCACCCTGTGCGTGAAAATGTTGCCCCTTAAGTCCCTTTTAAATCTTTCCCCTCACCTTAAACCTATGCCCTTTAGTTTTGGACTCCCCCCATCCCTGGGAAAAGACCTTATCTATTCACCCTGTACTCACCCCTTCTGATTTTATAAACCTCTGAAAAGGTCACCTCTCAGCATCTGATGCTCCAGGGAAAGTAGCACCAGCCTAATCAGCCTCTCCCTACAGCTAAAACACCGCCAAACCTGACAACATCCTTGTCAATCTTTTCTGAACCCTTTCAAGTTTTGTAATATTCTTTCTACGGCAGGAAGACCACAGCTGTATGCAGTATTCCAGAAGTGGCCTAACCAATGTCCTGTACAGCCGTAATATGACCTCCCAACTCCTATACTCAATGCACTGACTAATAAAGGCAAGCATGCCAAATGCCTCCTTCACGATCATGTCTACCTGGTACTCCACTTTCAAGAAACTATGAACCTGCACTCCAAGATCTCTTCGTTCAGCAACACTCCCCATGACCTTACCATTAAGTGTATAAGTCTTCTCTGATTTGCCTTTCCAAAATGCATTGCCTCGCATTTATCTAAATTACTCCATCTGCCACTTCTCACCTATTGGCCTATCTGATCGATGTCCAGTTGTATCCTGAGGTTCTTCACTGTCCTCTACACCTCCAATTTTGGTATCACCTGCAAACTTATTAACCGTATCTCCCTTGTTCACATCTAAGTCATTCATATAAATGACGAAAAGCAGGGGATCCAGCACCTTATCCTTGTGGCACACTGCTAGTCACAGACCTCCAGTCTGACAAGCAATCCTCCACCACCATCTTCTGTCTTCAGTTTACCAAAAGTCTATTTGAAGGTGTTGTGACAGAATTACAATTGAGTGTGTACTAATATCAACTCTTTAGAGAGGTGAACAGCAGCATCAAGGCACCAAACATTCAAAACCAACTCTTTGAATGTCTGACACAAGACATCCCAAGCACTGCTATACTTGGAACTTGTTCCTAGCAAGACAGTCCCAGGAAGACGATGGAAAAACGATAGCGATGTCCTCACACAACCCCTAAGTGAGAAAACATCCCTGTACCTGGTGGAAGTCCCTGGATTGTGACTGACCAAAGACTTTAGGAACAGACAGAGGGCGATGTGAGGCTTCAGAGGAAGTGCAGAAACTGCCTAACGACTAATATGAGCAATTTTTCAAATACCAATTGCTCCATGTATAGCCAGGAATACAGATCAGACATGATTCTTGCCCAGAATCTCGGCACTAATTGAACTGGGTGAATTCTACAATAAATTTAATCGAATTGTAGTCGTGGTGATTATATAGCTAGTTCAAATGGGATCTTGTGGCATTGTGATTTGTCCCTACCTCTATGTGCCACAGAGGTGTTATAAAATGTCAGAACATGTCGTTTAAAAACTTTATTTATGGCTAGTTCAGTTACTCCTTGGTAGTCCCCAAGATGTTGTTAGCTGTATCTATCACATGATGCTTCTGTTTGGCATGCATATCGTCCTATGTTGTAACTTAACCAGGTTACGCCTCATTTTAGGTATGCCTGGTGCTTTTTCTGGCTACCTTCCTGCATTCTTCTTTGAACTAGTGTTGATCCCCTATTTTGGTGGTAATGGTGGAGTAAAGGATATGCTAGATGTAGGGTACACCTTGTGGTTGAATAGAATTCTGCTACTTCTAATGGTCCACAATGGATATTCAGTTTTGAGTTACTGAATTTGTTCTGAACCTATATCATTTAGCATCTGGGTACTATCACACAATACTGGCCATCCCTACCTTTCACTGTAATTGTTTGCGACAGATTAAGGGCAGGGATAGAGTTTTTTATTTCTCAGCACATGTATACACCCAGTCTGGCAGTTGTGTTTCAGGACTTAGCCATCTTGGTCAGCAGTGGAGCTACCAAGCCACTTGTGATGATGAACATTGTATTCTTTGTGGAGGATTTCAATCTATTTCTTGCCACACTTGGTGCTTCCTCCAGCTGTTGTTCAACACATTCCTGGGAGTCTGGAATTACATATAGTCCAGACAAAGTAAGGACAGCATATTGTTTTCCTAAAGGAGATTAGTGAACCAGATAGGTTTTTACAACAGTCAGTGATAGATAAAGATGGTCATATTTGATGTAGTCACCAGACTCAATGTTAACTCCGTTTTCTTCCCACAATCCTGACAAGACCTGCTGAGATTCTCCATCAATTTCTGTTTTAGATTCAGATCTCCAACAATTACAGTTCTTTATTTCGTATCAGATTTTCTTTGTTCATTTACTTGAACTTGTTAATTGAATTTAGGTTCCATTGGCTGCTGTGGCAGGTTTTCAACCTTTGTCCCATAGGATTACTAGCAACATTATCATTATGTCACCATCTCTTCTGATTTGTTGAAAATTTTAAAGGGTTTTGAGAAATAGAAAACTGGATGGCTAACTCCTGTTCGTATTTACAATGTTCAATTATTAGAAAAAATTATTTTTGCTGGTAAGCATGTTAATAACAGATTACACAGATTGAAGATAATTGGCAAAAGAATTACGGGCATTCAGTATGAGGCAGAGGAATATGTGGATGAAGTTTTTTATGCGTAAATTGTTATGATCGAAATTCACTCGCTGAAAAGTTGTTTTAAACACATTTTGGGCAGAATCTTAGGCAGAGAGTAAGGAGTGAATTTGATTTATTGGCTCTTTTGAAAGGGCTCTATAAAGGCACAATGGACCAAGTAGTGTCCTTTTAGTACTGTAAGAATATTTATACCTTTTTATAAACAATTACCTTCTTCATTTAATTACAGGGTTGTGATCCCTTTGCACAGACTCAGCGGAGCAAGCTACAGCATCGCCGAGCTCGGATTAACCAGCAGATTAACAAGGAGATGCGAATGCGAGCAGGAGCTGAAAATCTATTTCGGTGAGTATTGCCGTTTAGCTGATATTGACCGATTGCTGGACTTGTCCTACAAACCTGATTGTCTGAATGTGAGTGTTTTATTTAAAAACAAATTCCTCTTCTGGACTTTACTTTTTTTAATTCCCATGGACACTACAGAAGAGGGACGAGACACTTTGATCCAACAAAGCTTTGTTATTTTCAGGGTATAACTTGTGCACACTATCATCCTCATCCACCATGCCACTTCCAGTTACTTTTTTTTTCATGGGTCAGACAAAATCTTTTGACCAATTTACAAAAACAGCACTGATTATAACTGCACATAGAGGGTCAATGGATGCTGATGTTATAAGCCAGAACAAACCCCTTCAAAATATATTAAGAAGATAGTCTAAACCCTAACTTTTTCTTATTTTAAAGGTAATTGTAAGGCATTGCGTTCCAGGTGCAATTTGATTGGTCAAACTGTCGACTTTAAGCAAAACACACTTTATTTTAACTGTCGTGTAAAAATACAGACAAAATAAAAGAAGAATTGGCTTTTCTGTAATTCTATCAAAATGCTGAATAAAATAATATATATTAAGTACTACTAATTAACCGTTCCAATATAGTAGCATCCCATACTCGCATCGGTGGCAAAGGCAAATTCAGTAAAACAGATTCTCTTCCTGCTGCTAAAATTGCATGTGAGACAATCTCAGCTGGCCAGGAATGGTTTGGTGAGACTTGGCATTTAGTTAGCATAGGGGCTGTAAAGGACTATGAGAGTGAGTACAAAGGCATGGATGATCATGGCGGGAATAAGAGGGCATTAGTGGTAAGTTAGCATGAAGAGCTATTAGATGAGGGTTGAGTCTTTAAGTTGGCATGGATGGGGTCTGGTATTGTGTAGAGTATGAGAGGTGAAGGCTGTTTGTTTCACTTTTTTTAAATATCGGACAAGAGTAGTAGTGCGCCAAGACAGACCTTCTATCAGATTGAATCCACACTTGACAGAACTGTTAGTCTGTTTTTGAGAGTCATCCACCATGATTCCCAGAAACCTAACTCCACCCCAGAATGAAAACCTGAAGATCTGGCACATTTTCTTCAGTTGGATTAGCATAGACCGAAATGTCCTACAGTGTAAATTCAGCTCTGTGTCATTTTTCACGGTTGAGGAAGGAGGTGTTACTACATGAAATTTGGAAGGATTGTAACTCGCTGAAATTAATGTAGGGAAGGAAACAGTGTTAGGAATAATACTGGAAATAAAGAAAGGGGTGGGTTGAAAAAGAATGGGTAAAGGAGATTAGGGATCCTCCTTACTTTCTTCAACAGCATAAAACCCACCACTTTTCCACCTCCTTTATTTCTGAAGAGAAGTCACGTTGGACTCAAAATTAGTTCTTTCTGCTTCCACAGATGCTGCTGGACCTTCTCTAGCAATTTCTGCTTTTTTTTTCAGATGTCAAACATCTGCATTATTTTACTCTGATTTAATGCTTGACAGTTGAACTTCATGCACCAAAAGAGGTGTAGACAGCATAGAATACCCTCCAGATGTACCATGTCAATACCAGAAGTCTGACCAATCAAGTGGAAGTGTCCAGACATTGGACACATCTAATTGTTGGTGTTTGAAGGAATGTTGTGCCTTTGTTGTTATATGAATTCATCCCACTTATTACTCTCTTATGGATTACCAGAAATGGATCTGCTCCAGCAACTCAATTTTCAATTAAGGCTAACTGAAATTGCCATTCTACCTCATTATCATCTTATGATTAATTAAAGTACACATTTATTTCTCTCCTTTACCATAATTCATATAGGGAGAGGGACTGTTTTAAATGCAATAGCATGTAGGAAGCAATAGGAAGAATACCAACAGAGTGTGCTAGAGAAATTCAACCTATCTGGCAGCATCTGTGGAGAACAGAGTTAATGGTTTGAGTCCAATATGGTTCTTATCTACTCCAGTATTTTCTATTTTATTTTAATTTGAGTCTCCAGCATTTGCAGTATTTTTTTTATTTGAGTAACAATAGGATATTGAGGGGGGAGTTCAAATATTTTGTATGTAATATATGCAGAATGTCCCTGAAAGTTAGAAGAAACAATAGGTAAATCAAACTGTGCAAAGTATGAAATAAAGAACTTTCCTCAGTGCTTTCCGCAGTAGCTTTTTGAATGCAGTTGGTGTTGGACACAGACCCAGAGATCCCCTTGGGGTTTGCCCTTTGGGATGCAGACAATACAGAGGGGCAGCCAGATACACTGTTACATTTTCTAATGAGCAAAAAAAGTCATTCCTTTGAGAGAGAAGCAGTTTTAACCCTTTTGTCAGTCTTTGGTACAGTGTTTAAAAACTGTATGCACACTGTTCTGTTTATTTTTATCCACTGTTTCCCGACTTCCAATACTATAACAGCTTACAAATATATAGAACCTTTAATGTAGATGATCTGCTATGACGTTGTTAATGCTACTTTGTATCTGATTTCTCATTGCTTATACATGCAGAAGATCATTCTGAAATCTCTATCTGTCTTCTTGCCAGCATGGATGCGATTGAGAATGTGACTTGTAGTATAAGAAAGAATTTTCACTTATTTATAGTTGCCTATTATGTCATACCGTAGGGTCTGTACATCTACTGCAGCTGGCATACAGAGCCTTGGTTTAACAGGTCACCAAAAGAGGACTCCTCAGACAACTTAGTATTGCTTCAGCACCCTAAAACAATTCAGGCTGGATTCTGTCATCAAGCCTGTAATCAAATTTTAATATGCAATTTCTGACTTGGAGACAAGAATAATTCCAAGTTCAATTTTTTGGCACATTGAAATTTCACTGCTATGAACTGGTTTCCTTTTTGTTTTCAATTTATTGATGGCACATATTTGTAAGTGATCATCATGTGGAGTTTTTTTTTAAATTTCATTTTAAATTTTGATGTTCCAGAGCTACAACTAACAACAAGGTGAAGGAAAATGTGGCTCTGGAATTGAGTTTTGTGAACTCCAACTTACAGCTTCTAAAGGAAGAACTAGAGGAACTGAACAGCTCAGTGGAAGTTTATCAAAATGGAAAGTGAGTATTTTCTATGCGCAGGCTTTATATCATCTTGAAATTAATCCTAGAACTGAGGTTCGGTAAACTGAATGCATGTTTTTTAAAAAAAAATGTGTTAGAAACATTCACCGTTCACCTGCTGTCTGTAGTGCAATATGTTCCATCACTTCTGTTTTTATTTTGATTTGCGATTTGGATTTTAAGGTGTATGTTTAGTTTTACTGTTAAGATATACTTTGGGGGAAAAAGCTTGTATGCTAAAACAAACATATGATGTGCATAGTCCTGAATTTGTGATCTCCATTTAAATAAGAGAAAACTATTTGTTCATTTAATTTTCACTACATCTTTTATGAACAGAGATTCAGTCCTGCAAAACCTGCTCCACCATTTCATTATTAGAGAGATGCGAGATGCTTCTTTGTAGAAAGGGGACAAAATCACAGCCATAGACATGATAATATAGTTGTCTTGATTACTGGGGAAGATCCCTATTTCCTGTAAGTTTGGGGTGTTGATAACCTGCTGATCTGTTTATCGTGAACAGTAAAGGCACAAACCAATAAATGAATTTCAGCCAAGGAGAAAATTAGATGTTGAATATATATTAAATATCAACTTCACCTAACTTTATAATTTTAAATTAATTTAGTACTTTATTTATTACTTCTGTTGTAATTGAACAAATCTGGCAGTGTGGGAAATTGAGTCACTGTTCATATTTAGATAACAGGGTGTGTCATGCAGTCCTTTTGTCAAAGATGCAGAAACTTGATTTATGTCACATCCCAAATTGTTGCGAGGCATTCCAAACTTTGTTAAATTTCTGAGGGTAAATTTTATCATTTTCTGGAATGGTTAGGTCTGTCTGGCAGGGAGGATTTGGCAAATTTGTTCACCCTGTGGTGCAGGTGCACCCTGTCCCTGGCATTGAAGGACAAAGGATATTGTACCTAAGCGCACTTTATTTTTCCTGTTAAAGAAACAATTTGATCAAGTAAGATTGTGATAGAATGATTGATTGAAATTAGCATCTCACTATATTGAGAATTGTGCATGCAAATGTATAGCTTGCCAATATGTGATGCAGCATGCTAGAAAATATTGCACAACTTTGGCATTTCCAATTCCTTGTCATTCCTAATGGTATGTCTGTTGAAATTAAGACTCAACCCTGTGATTCTTACTCTAACTCAATAGGTTTGAATCTGTGATCCTGTCGTTCCAGAGTAGGACAGCACTCTCTCTATAGGGCAGAAAATGAGAGTGTATAATCTTGGATGTTCTTAGAGCCCTATAGAATAGAGACAGGCCCTTTGGCCCAAACTAATCCATGCCGACCAAAATGTCCATCTGTGCTAAGCCCATTTCCTTCTAAACCTTTCCTAACCATGTATTTGTCCAAATGCTTTTTAAATGTTGTCAATGTACCCGCCTCAACCACTTCCGCTGGCAGCTCCTACCATATGCATACCACCTTCTGTGCAAAAAAAAGTTGCCCTTCAGGTTCTCATGTATTTTTTTCCCCTCTTAACTGAAATTGATATTTGTTCGTCTAATTCCTGTTGACTATTTGGGGGCCTATAGTACAACCTAATAATGTCACCATCCTCTTCTTATTTCTTAGCTCCGCCCGCAAAGCCTCACTGGATGATCCTGCAGTTATTTAATCTGTGACTACTGCTGTGATACTTCCTTTAATCAAAAATGCAACCCCCACCCCGCTTTCCTCCACCTCTGTCCCGCCTGAAACACCTATACCCTGGCACATTAAGCTGCCAGTCCTGTCCCTCCCTTAGCTATGTTTCTGTAATGGCTATAATATCCCAGTCCCACGTACCTATCCATGCCCTGAGTTCACCGGTCTTACCTCTCAGCCCTCTTGCATTGAAATAGATGCAATTTAATCCAACAGGCATTCCTCGCTCCCTGACCTATTCCATCCTGAACTATCTCTTCAACTTGCTATGTCCGATTACTGTATTTCTGTCTAGCCTCACACTTGCTTCCTTGCTGGTTAAGAGCACCCCACCACCCCACCCCGACCGTCGTCACCAATCTAGTTTAAACCCTCCCATGCAGCAGTAGCAAATTTGCCCGCCAGGATATTGGTCCCCCTCCAGTTCAGAATGCAACCCGGCCCTCTTGAACAGGTTACCTCTGACCCAGAAAAGATCCCAATGATCCAGGAATCTGAATCCCTGCTCCCTGCACCACTTCTTTAGCCACACATTCATCTGCCGTATCCTCCTGTTCTTAACCTCGCTAGCATGTAGCACTGGAACTAATCCGGAGATTACCACCTTCGAGGTCCTGGTTTTTAACTTTTCTCCTAGCTCTCTATGATCACTCTGCAGGACCTCATCCTTATTTCTACCTAAGTCATTGCACAATGACTTCTGGCTGCTTACCCTCCCCGTTGAGAATGTTCTGCAGCTGCTCCCAGACCCTGGCACCTGGGAAGCAACACACCATCCTGGATTCCCGTTGGCAGCCACAGAATCTCCCTCTCTGTCCCCCTAACTATAGAATCTCCTATCACAAAGGTTCTGTTCACCTTTACCCTTTCCTGCTGTGCTGTAGTGTCACCAACCTGGTGCTTTCCCCGATCGGTTTTTTGCTGTCAGTGATAGGAAGCTCCTCACTCCTGATCTCACATGAATCTCCAAACTTTTTCATCTTTGCTCATTTCTGTAGCTGGGAAGATTCCTATGTTTTGTTATGTTTTTATTTTTCTCACATCACGGTTTCTCATTTTTAAAAAGAAATGAAGAACAGTGCCGTGCATCACTGATTTAGTGTAAGGTGACTACGTGGTTGACCACTGTGGTAAGATCATTTTCTTTGAAGTGGCAGAATGATAGCTATCTTTGCACATGGGGACAAATAAAATTCAAGGTGAGGCAGTCCTCTGGCTCATTTACTTATTTTTGATTAAAAATGATCATTTACAATAGTATAGGAGTAAAATGCCAAATCTTTTAGTTGCGAACTTGAGAAAGAATTAAAAGAATTGGAACATTTTCTTTCCTGGCAGCACCTTCACAACTATTGTGGAAGAACTTTTATATGTAAATGGTATGAAGGATAATGCTGCTGTATGGACCCTTTGCTAATGTTATGACAATATGTCTCGGAAAGAAGAAAATTAGTTTATTTAATGGTACTTCCGTGCTAGCTCAGTGGGTAAATACATCACATCGTCATGTGACATAGTGCTGTAAAGGTCATGAAAGCCCTGACTATAGTACGAATACAAGCTAATGTTGGCCAAAGAAGGGGGGTCATATTCAGGTTGGCAGCCTGTAACTAGTGGAGTACCATAGGAATCAGTGCTGGGCGTAGTTATTTACAACATATAATAATGAATTGGATGAGGAAATTGAATGGGTGAGAGCCAAGTTTACTTATGACAAAACTAGATGGGAAGGCAGTTGGTGAGGAAAACATACAAACGGGTTAAACGGGTTGGTTAAAAACTTGGTAGATGGATATAATGTGAGTTTATTCACTTTGGCAGGAGGAATAAATGAGCTGCATATTATTTGAGACTTCTGAAAGCGTCAAAACAGGGTATTTGGGAATCCTCGTGCATGAATCACAAAAAGCTAATATCCCAAGTTCAGCAGGTAATGGGGAAAGCAAATGGAATGTTGGCCTTTATTTCAAAGGGAACTTAATATAAAAAAGGAAGGTGTTGCTAAAACTGTAGAAATTAGTAGTCTGACCACAGCTGGAATACCGTGAAGAGTTTTGTGCCCCTTACCTAAGGAAGGTAACCTGGCATTGCATGCAATCCAGAGAAAGTTCACTGATTGATACTGGGTATGGGAGAACTGTCCTATGAAGAGAGGTTAAATAAGTTAGGCCTATGTATTGGAAGTTAGAAGAATGATAAATGACCTTATTGAAACACAGGAGATTCTGAGATGACTTGATAGGGTAGATGCCAATAGGTTTTTCCCTTTTGTGAGAGTCTAGGACCAGAAGACAAAATCTCAGAATAAGGGGTCATACATTTAACACAGGTGAAAGGGAATTTCTTTTGAGAGTGGTGAGTCTGTGGATGTTACCGCAGACGGTTGTCAAGGCTGGATTGTTAAGTACATTCAAGACTGAGAGAGATTTTCACATAGTAAGAGAATCAGGTGTTAAGGGGAAATAGTAGAGAAGTGGAGTGTAGGATTATCAGATCAGCCATAAACTCATTGAACAGTGGAGCAGACTTGATGGGCTAAATGGTCTACTTCTGCTCCCACATCTTATGGAAGTGATGTTGCATTACAATTGTTGAGGAAGGAAATGTCAAGTTTTCCTGCTCATGATGTTTAAATGATGACTTTCTGATTTAAATGGAATTTACTGGTCCTAATAGTATGATGAACTGCTTTTTGTTGAATGCAATTTGTGCTGTAGTGACCAGCATTCTGTGCACATGATAATATTTAGAGAACAGCCCGAAATATTAGTTACATTAAATTTTTCCTAAGAACAAGGAAGGTTCTTATTGCAAGGTTTTTTCAGTAGGTCAGTTCAAAACATTTCAAGAGTTGCTGAAAAAAAAATTCCTGTCATAGTTAGTTGAACTTGGAAGGTAGGGACGGAGGTAGGCTTCGTACTGAGAACAATGTGAAACTGTGCTCCTGAGGTGGTGACTTAGGAGTAGTCACTTTGCAGTGACTCCAGGAAGGTATTCCCGAGTCTGAATGTGTGCATACTTAATACTATAGTCGGAGAAATCAAGCAGTTAGATAGTTTTGTGCCATCAGAACTCCAAAGGAAGTGCTAGAAGTTGGTAGATACAGTGAAATGTTAAAGTTAGGGCTTAGGAAAGGCCCTGGGAGCTGTGGAGAGTTGGCAAAAAGGTGTACCATTAACAGTTCGGTAAACTGTGAACAAGGATGAAGGAAAAACACAAGTAGTATATGCTTGTTACTAAGCAGAATTAGTATTCATGGAAAAATCCATAGTTAATACAGCTTGTGAAAGCTAGCTGTCTGTGAAAATTATGAATTTGT